AATGCAATGACCCGGGTGGTCATCCTGTATTTATAGGTTTATATAGTAGGTTGAATATTCAGGTTAAAAAAAAACCTTTGTACATTCGAACCACTCCCAAAACAAAACCATGGAACAAGTTCAGGCTTCAATGCACGCTACAAGTATTAAAGTCACTATATCTAGTGACGGACCCTAGAATTTTTGGATACGGTGGCACCATATAAAACGGTTGCACCTTCTAGAATAAAATGGTTGTACCTTTCACGAACCTAATTTTTTTACCTTACCACGAAGGAACAATACAGTAGCACGTGCCACCTAACCACCCTTCTAGGTCCGTCTATGTTTGTGGTCCTCCTTGATATACCATAGCAGTAAGGAGGTGGCAATCCAATGTAAGTTCTTAGGTTTGAGGCTGCACATCATCCACATGCCTCTAGGGGAAATGTGATTTACCTCATCTATTGTAACATCCCAAAATGTGAACCAGGACGAAAGTAGTCAAAAGGTGCAAGTCATAGTCCTAAGGATTAAAGATGCCTAGTGGGTGAAAATTCATGGACTAAGGGTGGTGGAAACTTGTCAAAGTAAGAAAAAGTGGGATTACTCCCACTTCATCGAGATTTCAGTAGGAGGTGGAGGTTTGCTAACCTCTTGCTTTGTTAACTCTTCCTCCATAAGAATTAAACTCCTATTTGCTTTTAAACTCCATGCGAAATCATACGAATTAGAGGGAGAGAGAGAGAGAGAAGAATAAAAGAAACAAAGGAAAGAAGTAAACAAGGGCATCGAAGTGTTGGTGGGTCAAGAACAAGTGCAGAAAGGAAAATCATCACCAAATTGGTTTTTAGATTCGTTTAGAAAGTGAGATTCAACCTTTTAATGTTTTAGAATATGGGTTTGATCCCATGAGGTGTAAGCATGAAGCAGTAGTGATGATCTTGACCCAAAGTTCATCAAAGTGATGAATGTGGGATAGTTCTTAATGGGGAAGTAGGTCAATATGGGGACCCAACATCACGATTAACTAAGTTATTATCAATTTCACATCAAAACCTAACCCTAATCTCCATCAAACACCTCTCATTTGAGTGTTGTGCACGTAGTTTACTAAAATAGCAACATAATTTATAAAACTTGCATAAAATGCAATCTACACGACTTTTTCGACTTCACTTCTAACACTTCATATTAACTTATTTAAGGTGTTTCAACCTCTATATCACCATTTAGAGCATCCGTTCAAGTTTTGGGATAGATTTTTCCTATTTAGGCACTCTAGTAATTACCTACCCGATTTACATTTAGGCAATGTACTTTGTGTTTTGAAGCCTCGCATCATCTAATTATGTCATTTGCGAGGTGTTGAGACCAAACTTACCTCCTACATCTCATTCTAACTATGAGTTCTACTTATAGCTCACTAGTACACTTTGCATTTTAGCAAATTCTTTTTTTACACAATTAACACATAAAACATGCTTATAATACATATTTAGAATCACCAGTTAAACATATTTAAGAGGGTGGATGTTACACATAGTCCCCAAATCATAACCTTAAAGTCTTAAATAGAATAAATAGGAAACTTGATTCCGATATGCTTTTTGAAGCCTCACAATTAATTTGTGGCAAACTTGATGAAGAAAAAAGGAGATGTTTTGTGACAACCCCGATTCCAAGTCTTAGTTTGGTTTTAATTTTAGGGATTCTAGTTTAGGGTCTTAAATTTTCATCAGTTCTGTATCAAATCTAAAATTGATCTAAACTTGTTAATTTGTTGACTTCCTTGTTACATTTAACGTTTTTCTTTAAATATTTAATGTTTTTGTTTTTTTGCTTTGAATATGGATTTGAGTTTTGTTTGAATTTGGGGTTGGGGTTGGGGTTGTTTTGATGATTGTTAGGGTGGGTGGTACGTAGTTGGTGATGGTCACCATAAAAAGGGGATTGGGGAAGAGGAGTAGAAATTAAGACAAATTTGTCCTTCATGTGAGGAGACATGACCGGGATAATTGGAGATAGAGTTAATCATGTTAATTCAATATTGGATCATTTGGTCTCTAAAAAACGGAATACCGACCACTTATGTACTTTATGAATTTTGTGACCAAAACCAAAAAGCAAGCATGGATAAAGGACCATGAATATAATTCACGCTATTTATATTATTGATAATTTGTTTTAATTATATTATTAAATAACATTATAAAACAAATGACTTTTACTGTATAAAAAAATTACCCAGGGAAATTTCCTTCAGCGATTACCGACGGATCACTCAGAAAATACCAACAATTCCGGTAGAATACGATGTTTTTCAAGAAAATAACAACGGATCTCGAGAAAATATCTGAGCAATTTGTGAGTGATTTGAATTATCCATCAACTTTTGTGACGGTTTTGTGAAGAATCACTCATTTAGCGACAGATTTCCCAGAGAAAATCGGTAGGTAAAATTCTTCCATTTAGTATTGTGTTAGAATTGACTTAAGTTTTTAACATATCTTTCTTGGTCAATTTACAATTCTCGTCTAGCTTATCAACTAGTTTTTATTAAATGTGATTATTTAATCAATCAACTTACTTGCAATAAAACTAGATTATGAGCTAGTTTGTCGAAAATAACATTAATGTTTCATAAATATTGCAATCTTAAAAAGTTGGAATTGAATAGTTTTACCAAAATGTTTTATAATAATATAGATGAACGGTTGATCTGTTCGACTCTGTAAGTTTTTATATAGGATGGACAATCAAAAGGCTAAGAAGTAAGTGAGGAGGGCTTTGTTTCTTCAACTGCTTAGATTGAAAGTAATAGTGGTAGCGTAAATGATGGTGGAGGCATGCATACAATTTCAAATATTAAATCGGGTTAGTGGATGAGTTGGGTTCATACGAGAATGATAATTGGTACTTATTTAAGAAAAATAAGAGAATGATCGAATCACATGTGATTTTACACTAATATCACATACAAAATCATATGTGATTCACGAGACCTTGCCACCCAGCCATAGTGTCACCTGCACACTTTTTTTGCCTTTAATGTAAAATCACATGTGATTTTGTACGTAATTTGATTATTCTTTTATTTTCTTAAATATGTATTATTATCATATGAACCTACCACTAGTGGATGATTCATCAACATTAAGCGTATAATTAAAACCCAGAGCTAGCATTTGGTGTAGTGACTAAAACTCCTCAAACAATTAGTCGTATGAGTATAATCTACGGCTAAAATTCTAAGGGTGATATCAAGGCCTTAATCCATGCAGTCAAAGGTAAGATGAAATGGCAATCTTTGTTTTATAGTTCTAACAAGTTCAAAAAACCGTTATAACTGAGGATCGTCAAGATAACTATGGTGGTGAGTATTAATGAAGCTTCGGTTGTCAACTTTTAAGAGTCATTATGAGTGTGATAAAAGTTTTACGATGGTGCAACTATCATCATAGAGACCACATAATCAATTAGGGCCTCTACTTATTTGAGAATAAGGTAAAAAAGGGATCGGAAATTGTGACTAGTCATGAAGTGGATTAGGACAACTTAGGAGTTATCAACTTGAACTTGGTGACAAAATGAAGAAAACAAAATAAAATAAAAATCGATTAATCGATTTTTGCCACGAAGAGATCTTAAAGTATATTGATCTTGCTTTTTAATTAGTCTTTCCTATTTGAAACTTGTATGGGTGAAAATTGAACATTCATTAAAACAAAGTCTCTATTTTAATGAACTTTTAAAAAGATATTATTAAGCTAATGTGGCCACATAAATCCAATTATTGATCGTATGAAAAACAAATAAAATACTAAAATTTGTCCATCAAAGTCAAAATTTCATTTTGATCCCTAACAAGTTATACACGCTTCAGTCCTTATCAGTCATTATTAACTTTTGATTTGTCAAAGTGAACAATTTTTGGTATAATAAAGATTTGAAATATATTTTGGTACTTAAAACAAGAAAATGATTTTTGAAACAATTGTTAAAGCATCGTTACATGAATCTATATAAATATAATTAATTCGGTTGGCACTTCACTTGTTGATTATGTCTTAAAATTTGCCCAAAGAAAACTATGAAACCAAGCAATCTTGAGCACGGTCCCATACATCCCTCAACAAATCTCATGGTTGATTACATTGAAATCCATTAGAGATTTGTGACCAAAATCACTTCACATACCTTGGGATACATGCATTGGAACATTAAACTTTAATGAAAAAGAACAACCCACCAACTCTTCGATTAGTGACCACCATTTTTAAATTTTTGCTTTTGATGGGCACCAAATATTGTACAATAAACAAGAAACAAACCATGGGACCCAAATTATGGATATATCTCCTGAAATTGGACCCACTAAGGGAACACAACCAAAGAAGCTGGAATTTCCACGTGTCCCTTTCAAACCTATCGATTTTAAGTCTTTAATTCGATTCTATTTAGATGACATGACTTTAAGATAATCCATGCATCGCTCTTTTACCGACATGTTATTGAAACCATTTTGTTTCAAATTAAAAACCGTCAAAGCTATATATATATATATATATATATATATATATATCAATGTTATTTTTATAGAGTATTGATGAAAACGTCTATCATAATCCATTATAAACGATAAGTCTCAAGGTCTTTATATGTTTGTAATAAAGAATGTTTTTGAAGGAGATCGTTATATTTTTACTATGGGTGTCATTTACGTATTTTGTTCTGACATGCCATTAAAATTCACCATTTGCATTTGAAATGAATGTGATACCATTAAATTTTTTTCTGTGCATAATTTGGAACTACATGATATAATAGTGATTAGATGACAATTCCTCTGGATTCAAGCAAATTGGCATCGGTATTTAACTTCACTCTCTCAATAAAATCCAAAACAGATAAGATTAAAAACACATAAAAGAAGGAACAAGGAGACAAAGACAACTATGCATATATATAGAGAGAGAGCGACCACACACAACTTGCAAAGAAAACCCTCTTGTCCAAATTTAATACAAGCTTTGTATTATAAAAAGATTCATCATATATGGAGGGTTTCACATCAAATTTCCATAGCTTCAAACCTTCATTTTCTTTCATAGACGTTGATCAAAATATGGAACTACTTAACCAATTCTCAATCCAGTACGACAATCCAAGCATGAGTTCTCAGAACTTCATGGGGTTTTCAAATGACAATTTCTTCTCCCAACAGGTTTTACCACCACCTGATTATCAATTCATGCAAACCTTTCAACCAGTTTTTCAGCATGAAAAGAAGAATGTCATGGTGATTCCTGAGCCGGTTCCTTTGGGTCCGGTTGTTAACGGGAAGAGAAAAGCCACTGATGTATCAGCAAGCAGTTCTGGGAATTCGTCACCGAATCCCGTTTCTGAAAACGAGATTGATGAGAAAAAATATCAGGTAACGGCTTTAGCATTTTAAGTTGCAAATAAACAAACGTCTTGCAACAGTATATATGCGATTTGGATATATTGTGGCCGTATGTCAAAATATCTCATTTTTCAAACTGTTGTACGTATCATACAAATGATAGCTCTTTTCTGAAAACGTAGACTAATTAAATTGTCTTCTTTTCTAAGTCTAACTTGTACTTATGGTTCTCTCTCTCTCTTTTAATTATAAATTTTATATAGAGTTCAGGAAAAGGCAAGAAAGCAAAAGTGAGTGAAAATGGAGAAGTACCAAAAGAAGTGGTACACGTTCGAGCCAGAAGGGGCCAAGCAACCGATAGTCACAGTATTGCAGAAAGGGTAAGCTGGAAATTTGTGTTTTTGTATATTGCAAAAATCACCATTACTTTTGTTAATAAATATCACGAATTAAAAAATTGGATAATTTTCAACGAACCGTAGAAATGTAAGTGTGAAAAAGAACATTTTGATTGACAAGTTAGTTGAAAAAGAAGCGTTAATTTGTTCCCTTGGAAAGTGAATATTTTCGACTATGATGGTTAAAAAGTCAATTAATAATTCATTTTTGTTGCGGAACAGGTTAGAAGAGGGAAAATTAACGAGCGGTTGAGATGCTTGCAAGACATTGTTCCCGGGTGCTACAAGGTAAATTTCAAGACAACATCAAGCATAAGACATCTTCCGAACCTATGCATCATAAGATTGTACCGTACAAGTATATGTTCATCTTCCTAGATTGATGGAATTGTTGATATATTTACAGTCTATGGGCATGGCAGTAATGTTGGATGAGATAATCAACTATGTTCAATCGTTGCAGAATCAAGTGGAGGTGAGTTGAATGAACTCATTAATTGTAGACAGAAACAAAAACAATAAATACTGATTTAATTTTATCATATCAGTTTCTTTCCATGAAACTCACCGAAGCAAGCCGATTTCCCGACTTCGACTCAGATTCAAGGCCTGTTGTTGCATATCAGGTAAATTTATCTGTTGGTTTTTGATGTGACTTGTTTTTCTGCATTAAATAATTAAAAAAGAAATATATAAGCATCAATTTGAAAATAAATAAATGATATTATATGTATTTAATTAATTAGGGGAATGGAATATAATAATTGCATAAGTGGTAGATAAAGATTTGGTGATTAAAGACAAAATTGGATTGATGGCATGCAGATGGGAAATGCAAATGGTGGAGTGAAGATGCAAAGATTGGAGGAGAGAGAAGAGATTGGTCCGGTTGACCTGAGTTTTGGCTCTTATCCTTCCTTGCCATACCATACCACATAAACAACATCCCTCTTCTTTCATACATACATACAATTAATTAATTAATTAATATGTATTATTAATTAATTAATATATATTGTTGCATACATACAAAATGTATAACCATTACACGATTATTGGAATAAAATCAAAGCTTCCATGCTACGCGTTTATTTCTTACACTTTCTATGGTTCATATCAGTTGTTTATTTCTGTCTTATTATTATCATTATTTATATTAACAAATCAAATTCAATATCGAATTGAAATAATTAATGATTAATAGGAAGAATTAATGGTTGATCATCAACATTGTAACGGGATATTTTTATTGAATTAAACGATATATCTTTTTTTTTAAGAATCATCTGTATTGTGTGGTTAGAATTGACATCGAATAAAACAAAAAAAAGAATTATAATTTATGCTCATAAAATTATATGTATATATATATATATCATTAAAGTAATAGTTGAGGGATATATTTGTCCCTGGCCCCCTTCCTCTATGGCTTTTCAGTTGTTCAAATTTTTAATTCAGATGCATTGTACTTGGATTTTATTTGTATATAGTGGTCCACTTCTTGTCCATGGTCACCTTCAAAATCTTTTTTGAATCTTCAGATAAATAAAATAAATCAGTTATACGATTTATCAACTATGTATCAAAATAATCATTATCGATAAATATATCATCAATTAAAAAATCAAGTTTTCATTTGACTTTAATCTTGTAGATGATTGATTTGGTCAAAAGTAAAAGTACTCATTTTTTTATGATAGATTAGTAAATTTTAGGAACGGTTATTAAGATGAATTTTGGATGATAAAATTCTATACATAAGTAAAATAAAATCTCTTTTGATATATAAATTTTGCAAACAATTTAGCAATTAAGTCACCAGTTAAATCCTTAAGCGGTTTATGTATTTCCTGTTAACTTTCTCACCCTCTTGATTCTTCATTATTTCTTATCTTTTTCATGAAAAACAAGCTATATAAATTAAAATAAAACCCTAATCCATGGCAAAAAGAAAGCAATAAGTGAAATTTAAAGCAAGCGTCAAAAATCCAAGGTGATGCTTCTTCTAAGAAGCTTGATAGATCAAAATCATTGAATGTAATGTTGCTCATTAATGGGGTGATTTGCTAGTTCATGCAGTCAAATAAGTATTTGAAATGTGGGTTGAATGGTTTATATATATATAATGGACAAGCATTCGTTGTGGTTGCAGTTACATGCATTGTTTGAAAGAACTTTGATGTTTGAGATTGAGAATGTGTCCAATTTCATGAATGTAAGGGTGAGTCAAGGTTACTAGAAAAGAGAGGGATGGGTTTTGTATAGTAGAGACCAGGTCTTAATGGAGAAGGGAACTAAGAGTTGGGATGGATGATAAGAAAAGGGTTTTTTATTATTTGATTTCCAAATTTCTATTTAAGAGTCGTTTTAATTAATGGTAAAACATAAATAACCTTTTTATTAAATAAAAGCCTTGTGATATGGTTTACCTCACTTTTTACGACTTTGTTTCCAATTTTCTACAAACAGTCGTTTCCAATCTATTATTATCACTTAATTCATCACTGTATCTATCGGGATTGTGCTCTTACACTCTTATGATTGATTTAGAGTTTTGGTTAACGTATTATATCGTTATAACTTTCCTAAAATAAATCAACTTTGACCAAAGTTTATATATGGAGAGCCCCACAAATAGATAGGGGTTGGACCCATAAATCCTGATGTTGTTGCCAATTCAATAACTTAATCATTAAGTGGATTAGAATCTCTCTCTCCATCTATACAAAAGAAAAAGGGACTTCTAATAGAAAACCCTAAATAATAATAAATAAATAAAAAGAATATAAGTTTTCATTAATAATTAGATTAATTGATTCGAATGACATAAATAAATAAATGTTTATAATTTTATCTTTAAATTAATTCCAGTTCCCTTATCTTTTTAATAGGAAAAAAGTGAGATATAATTAAAATTGAACAAAAACGATCATTTTATTTAATTTATTTTTTATTAATTTTGATGTGTGTATAAATGGGAAGTAGTAAAAAGGAGTCGGATACAATGGATGTGAAATTGGCCTACCAGAAGACTACAGCTTGAACTTGGCCCACTCCTGGATGGGCAATGTGGAGACACTCATCACTCACCCCCAGCTTCAACTTCACTTGCAATTGCATTGCATGATAAGAGCTTATCAACCTTTGAAAGCTCAACCTCCACTTTCAATAAATTTTAATTATATCTTTTATATTTCATACAAATCTTTAATTTTTTCTGTGTCATATCGAAAAAATGAAACGTCTTATCTAAAAGGCGTTATGATAAGTTTATAGAACGTTTTCGGATTAATTAACAAGTTTTTTAGGATGTTTTTAATACAAAGTGTCGCATTAGCAATTTTACACGACATTTTTTATAAAGTATGCTATGAACTCATTAGGTTATTTTGAAATATAAAAAACATAAAACTCCTCTGATTATAAAAGTTACTCTTACAATAAAATCTTCTTGAAGCTACAAAACATAAAACTCCTCAGGTTGTTACATGTGCGCACACATACAAGGAGAAAAAACATAAAAAATTCAGTGCAACAAAGCTGTACAACAAATATTGTTTTCAAACACATGCAAGTGTGCAAAAACGGTTTAAAACTTAACATATTTCAAAACACAAAACGACTGACGAAGAAACATGCATTAAAGCAAAATATTGAATGATGGATTATAACCTCTTAATTTAACATTTTGACGTCAAACTTGAAGCCGTAGAAAAAGCTTGTTAGAATGTATTGATTAGTTTAAAATCGACGAATTGAGGCCTACTACTTTTGTTTCAAATGCACAACACTCCCTTTTGCTTTGACGAAAGTTTATTGGTTGTCTCTTTGGAGCATGCATGAACAAGAAGAGGAAGGGAGGGAGGGATGCATCCATCAAGGGAATATCCTACTTTTGTGCCTTTCGCAGAAATCAGTTAAGTTAATTTGATAATTTCATCGATTAATAGTTTAAAAAATACATGATTTTACTATATGATATTTGAGTAATATAAGTTAATATTATATATTAATATCTTGTAATTAATGATTGTTTATAGATAAATCTAAATTGAATTGTGGGGTTTTTTTGAAAGAAAACATATATGAAAGAGATATAATACCTAATATGGGCAAGTTCAAGGTTTCCAATTATATCATCATCAACCTTCTGGGGAGTGGGATTCGTTAGCTTCCCATCAATTTTGTAGTTCTTTTTATTATATTCTAGAATATTCAAAGTATTGTTTTTAATCAGTGATATATACAGACGATATTTCAAATGCAACTTATCTTATTTTTATAATCAATGTAATCCGATGAATTGATATATTTATGAAAATGATGAAAGTTTATTTATTATGATTTAAATATTTATGAAAGATAGTTAGAGTTCATTAATTATGATTAACGTTTTATATTAGAAAAAAAATCAAAATATTTATGGAACCACGTGTTCAGTAGATTAAATAAACGATTGAGCTTGGGTTGTACAAATAGAATACATTGTGTTTGATTTCATGAGGTGAAATAACATAGAGACTGTAATTGTGCTTTGATTTCATAGGATGAAATAGATCATAGATGAAAATTATGCTTGATTTCATGTGGTGAAATAACATATATGTGAACATTATGTTGGATTCCATGAGGTGAAATTATCTATAAAAAATATGTTTTATTTCATAAGACGAAAGAGTATGATGGGTGTTTGTGTTCATCTGGTGAATTTATGTTACTAAAATGATGATTATGCCTTTGTCTTACTAAAAGCAACTTTCAATTAAAACGATAGTATCAAAACCAAATTAAGGCTTAGATCGTTTTCATGGTTCTCAATCTTTTTTTTTGTCCTCGTATAATTTAACCCCTATATATACACACACTAGTTAATTGAGAACCCATGCAATGCGGCGGAAGGCAAAATGTAAATGATTTCTAAGCTTTGATGGTTCTTGTTAGATGAGATTTTAAGACATTATAATGATACGGTAGATCAAAATTGTATTACAGTTCAAATTCAATAAGATCAAACCAATCCAATGAAGATTTTATTTCATGTAATATTTGTATTTTATAATTTGACGCATATGAATATGGCTAAAATGATTTGGTGGTTGCTTCAAATATTGGATGAATCCAAAACCGGTTTAATTATCTATTGCTCAATCATTGGATAACTAAAGCAGATCCAAGCAAGATTTATCAACTCCTCTAATTGGTGGAAGTTGAAATGTGAAAAAAAAATATGATAAGAATAGTTCGTCTCCTAAAAGATGTTCATCTTGACTTGAAGATCATTGGAATCAAGAAAATCTCATATTTCATTATTTGGCTCTTCGCTCTCGAGGAAAACATAAACATAGTACATACAAATCGATTTGGGAGGGTGGCGTACTTGAAAATACTTGTTAACCTTTGTAGGTGTATTTCATCGACATCCAATTCCACAAGAAATAAGTCGTTGCTAAAAGTCCAATTATCCTCATAAAAGATTTATAGAGATGACATGTCGTCGCTATAGCTTGTGGATGAAATATTTTGTCGCTAAAGGTGCGTTGCTGAAGCTTATTTTTCTTGTAGTTTATGGGGTAGATAAATATTTATGAAAAGGAAAAAAAAAGATGATAAAAGAAAAATGGTGGATTTTTGTTAGGCCAAAAATAAAATATTATAAAGTATAAGGGAAATTGTTGGCAAGTACTGAAAGTGAGAAGTCCTTAAATATAGGTGGATGAAATTAGAGGGGTCTGTTTTGCCAATTTAGCAAACTTTTGAATTTCTGAACAGTTAAAAATCGTCCTTGAGTTTCTAATGTTAAACCGTGAGTTATCAATTGGGAGAACAAAAGCTTTTTGAGATTTTGAGAAACGAGCGAGAAATTGACGGTCGAGCGGGTTATGGTTTCTTCGAACAAAAATCAATATTGAAGTTACATTTCTTAACCAAATTTGATGTTCTATATATGGTTGGTTTCGTTTTTGGATTACCTTTAGAATGGTTTAAGTTTGGAGAACCAATGATGGCCATAAGTCGTGTATTTTGAGCAAAACGGTCTCGATGGCGGGATTGCGTAAAACTCGAAATTCGAGTTGTTTATTTAGTTTTAAGG